CGCATAATTTTCATTCCTGTTGACCAAGACTAGGGGGAGTCTGGAGCCCGCAGCACCCTGGCCAAAGGGAGCAGAGAGGGTAGGGTGCCCAGGACACTGACCTTGCAGGAGCAGTGGGTGGTGGAAGGCGGGCAGGGGCAGGCTGGGGGTCCTGGCTGGCTCACAGAAGTAGGCGTGCAGCCAGGCCGTGCTCTGCTGCAGCGGCTCCGGCAGCTCCTCCGCCCCTCCGCGCACCTGGCAAGTGGCCGAGGACTCTGCCCTGCTGGGAGAGAGTTGTACGGTGAGAACCATGATAAAATTGAACATTCATACCTCCTGCACTAGCAGGAAAACGTATCATCTCAGAAGCATTCAGTCTCGAGTCAGACTCCACTTTTTTTCTGCTCTGACAAAGGTGAAAATGTTCCTAACAGCCACGACCAAGGTGCGTCCTCATATCATCTTAGAAGCATTCAGTCTCGAGTCAGATTCCACTTTTTTCTCTGCTCTGACAAAGGTGAAAACGTTCCTAACAGCCACGACCAAGGTGCGTCCTCATCCCCTCAGGAAACCCAGGGTGATGCAAGGTTCCTTACACCTGTAGGAAAACGTCATGCAAGACTGGGGAGAGGGAAATGCTGAGCACAGGATGGAAAGGTCAGGGAGCAGGAAGATCATCCAAGGCCACATGGACAATGCATCCTTGTGCCTCCCAGGTGGGTGGAGGTGAGGTTCCTCCTCCACGTCCCCCAAGGGCACAGTACCATCTCCCCAGGGACCATCCCAGGGGAAGGGAGGAAAGGAAACAGCTTCACTGCCGAACCCGCGCCTTCCTCTGCCCCGTTTCCTTCCAGCCACAGTGGCAGGTTTCTGCTTTCCTCCACTTATTGAATTGGAAGGAAGCAATTGAGAATTCATTTGATTTTCAATGGCAGCTCCTGTTTGCAGGACACTGAAGAGCGCAGCGAGCGAACAGAAGCACCTGCCAACAAAAATGTACTTTTTCCTTTGCTACTTTTAAATTGTTTTCCTCTGGAAGAGCGACATGTGTAGGAGAGCAAAGATGATGTGAACACTGGGTTTGCAGACCTCCAGCTGTGTGCTTTCAGTGAGCCAAAGCAGTGCTGGTGAGGGGATGGTGATGCTCTCCTGGTGCTTTAGGAGATGCTGGTGGGGCAGGTGTCTCTTAAAACTGCAGAGACCAATCTCAGGGTACCAATAAACAGAGCCTGCTACCAATGTATGGGGAGAAATGATGGGAAGATCAATAAGGAGACAACGTCAAGAGTGACTGCCAATCCAGCATGCCTGTCAGCAATCTCAGACACAGCACCAATGACCAGCCATCCTAAGGTTTTCTGATTATTGTGGCTTCTCCCCCCCAGCTGGAAATGCAGCCAGAGCCCAGAACAAGAAGCTCCTCCAGAGAGTGCTGGTAAAACTCCCCAGCAGTCTGCTGAGGGGCTGCAGCTCTCAAAAAGCAGTAGAAGGGAGGGAAAAATTGTAGAAATATCAAAATACATGAGAACCTGAGACAACGGAAGGAAGAGAAACCACAGCAGTTCTGCCACCTCAGGGAGAGAGCAAACCAACCCAAACTCCAGCACACTGCAAGGGAGCCAAAGTACTCTGCCAGTTCCCCCCTAGCAGAAACCCCCGAAAAATGAACTGTGTGATGTCCCTGTAATGGCATCAAAGACACCAGGTCTGCAGTTGCCACAAGGCACCTTTGCAAAATGACCAAATGCCCTCAACACGCTTGATCCACAACAGCCTGTGGAGCCGAACGCGCTGGGACGTGGGTGGGATGGCCCCAGCTCTGCCTCGGGGTGGGCTCAGGGTGGTGAGGTGGGAGCTGGCTCGGGGTCACCCCCTGCAGAGGAGCCCTCGCTCACCTGCTGCCTGATCAAACAGCCCTGCTGCCTCCCCCAGCCCCAATTCATTTGCTGATTTAATTGTTAAGCACTGCAGGCCACATAGTTACTGATTAGAAAGTGGCAGAGAAGAGGAAAGACAGCAAGGAGGACAATTACAACACTCCAGTCACACACGAATATGGGTTGGTGGCTTGGAGCAGGGAAAAACAAAAAAGGAGAAACAGCTTTGGATCCACTTGGCCCAAAAGTGCAATTTTATTTTGCTCTTTCCACCTCTTTACCAAATTAATGCTTCTGATTCTTTTTTTGTGCCTGTGTGTTTGAAGTAGGATCGATTTGCTTTATAAAACTGATGTCTATGTTCTTTTGCTATTTAATAATATCTTTGCTAAAAAAAAGGTAAGAGAATCTGCACATAAATGTTTCTGTGTGGATACCTGCAACATGGACCTCCAAGGACGCTCTCAACACCCTGGATAATCTGTTATTCTGCACATGTACAACTCTCAGCAGAATATGGCTCAGTTTCACTGTGGATTGTTAGAGCTACAACAATATAATAACTACAGAATATAATAATGCCTCTGAAACCTCCAAGAGAAGTTGGGAGACTTTTCTGCTCCATTTATCCAGAAGAGCATAGAAAGCACTCAAAACTACAGCAACCTTATGGTTTTCACATCATCTTGTTTCACATACTCAGAAGTCTGGAAACGATTTGGACTGTAATATATAAAACCAAAAGACTTTGTCTCCTGGCTGCTCCAGGAGCAAGAGGATGGGCTCTGGCTCTGCCACCAACCGCCCCAGCCTGGCACTGGCAGATGGGACTGGAACTGCCTCATGGGCACCCAAACTGCCTCCTGCTCCAGCAAGGCACCAAACTATCACCATTCCCCCCAAAACCAGGTGCAGTGCTACCAAGGCTGGTGCATGGGCTGTGCAGGGCTTTGCCTGAAGCCTCAAGGTAACCACCAGGCCATTAGCTCCATATTTAATATATGGAATAAAGGCCCATCAATCCATAAGAAGACATGAATTACAGCACATGCTTTGCTGCAGGAACCTTAGCCATCAACACACAGATATGTTCCTGTGTCATCACACATTCCTCCCTTCCACCTGCTCTTTCCAGGTAGGACTGTTTGTATTAAAGGCTTAAATTTTACATTTTTTAATTACTACTTTTAAAAACAGTGCCTTGTCACTGATTAACATCTCTAGATGATTTGGGTGAGACCCATTCACCCACCACTTCAACACCAGACACTTTCACAAAGTCTTCCGCCTCCACCTTGGTAAAGAAAGCAAAAGCTTTGCAAGATGAAAAGGACTTTTGAAGAATGCACTGACTTCTTTTCCTGTAGGGTACAAAGCTGTTTGCCAGCATATATACTGAGACCTTCAAATTGGCATAAAGTTAAACAAAATAATAAATCTTCATATTAATTTGCTTGGCTAGAAATGCCAACAAGTATTCCTGGGATGCGACAGCTTCAATAAAACAAACAACGCATGTAACTTAGGCATGAATGGCTTCTCCTGGCCCTCGTCTCCTCCCCTCCCTCCTGCCCTTTCCCTTTCCAAAGTTGCACAGCAGCACCCCTTCCACAAACCACCCTGGAATTAAAACTGCAACTTAAAACACCAGCTGCCTTTTAAAGGATTTTCTCAGGCTTCAAAGCCACGTTTTGGCCCAACTAAAGCACATGCATGTTTCAAAAAGCAAGGTAAAATTGGAATTTCCCACCATGGGAAATATTCCCCCTCATGTGAAACTCCTCTGCTCCACGTTAGGCTTCTTGGCAGGTTTCTGATCACCCTACTCCATGCACTGATCTTTGACCAAGATGGCCAGGAAAAAAGTTACTTGAATACCATTAGAGAAAAACAGCTAAGGGTCAAATTAACCACTTGTGCCTAATTAGCCATGAACAAGAAAAAGGGACTTCATGTCCTGCCCCTGGTGATCCCCAAGGGAGGGACTTGCTACTGGCTGTGGAGCCACCAGCACATCAGGTGATTTCTTTTGTGCTTCACCCGTGGAAAGCTTATGTTTGTGACTCAACAAGACATTTTTTTACTTTTATACAGGAAAATAAAATAAGCATATTGCTTAAAAAATACAAGAAGCTGAACAGAAGGTGTAAGAAATCCGACTGCTTTACCTGTGCCCTGGAGACTTTCACTGTCTTTCCTTAAGAAGTACCAACACCTTGCTTTGCAGTGTGGCTAGAATAATGAGCAGCCATTATTTACAATGCAGTAGTTTTATTTAAATCACTTACACTTTTGTAGGAGACTGTCACTGCACTTGTTTTCATAGGTGAGCAGAGCTGGGCCCTGCCTGGGGGGCATCTCAAAAGATGCAAAATGTGGTTCTCTGTTCTCACTCGGTCAACAAGAAATCATCACTGCAGGGTTTTTAGGCATTTGGGTTTTATTTTTACTGAAACGTTTTTGCTTGCACTCACGAGCCAGCCTGCAAGGTGTGCAGTGGGTGAGCTGCCTGCCTGCCCATCACCAGGGAGGTGGTGTTCCAGGGATACTCAGCAGCAAGTGGCTGTCTCAGCCACACGGCTTCATGAGGTGATGCTGAGTGAAAGGGGCACACTCCTCACATGGACAAAACCACACTTGTTTTGAGCTATGAAAAGCAGGTATCTACAAGTAAATACTTTTAAGTTGTCTGTCTCTCAAAAGGAGACTTTTTTTTCAGGCCAAGCAACCACTGCTGCTGCAGAACTCCAGCCTGCACATTCAGCTCTTGGCTGTGGTGAAGTCCAAGAGATACGTAAGGTCAGTCCCAGCACAGGAATCCACCACAGCCCAGGTGCAGACCTGCTGCTCCAGCTTACCCAGACAGCTATTCCACACCATTCCTACTGCAATCCTGCTTTTTTAGTTCCACTACAGCTCTTTTTTAGGACCAAACAAGCTAAGGAAGCCAGTGGGTGCTCACATCCCTACAGCTGAGAGGTGTCTTCCTGAGGCTGCATCCCAGCCACCTCTCATATGTGACTTTTTCTGTTTGCATGGGATGAAATGAAGGAGAAGATGGGTTTAGCAGAGGGGGAGAACAGCAGAACCACCACCTGCTTCAGTTTAACAGGCTCCTTCCAGAGCACTTGCCAAGGACTGCAAGTTTCTAATGTGCTTCCAAACCAAACATGTAAGCAGCAGATTGGCTGCAGTACCATCCTGAACAGATCAACCATTGTGAAAACCAGAGAAATGCTGTGAGAAGCCTCTGTGGGTAGCCATATTCTAAATTGATAAAATTTTAATTATTTATTTTACTTCTGAGCTACTTTTTGCCTCATTTGGTCCTTGATAAACCTTAACAGAAACACTGCACGATGGACCTTGAGTTGTGGGGTTTAAAATTAAAGGGAATGTATCA